TGACCTGCTGATCTAGCAGTAGCCTGCAGTGCTGCATTTAACCACTGCGCCACCTTGGCTCTTCAAAATCTTGGTGCATCTTATACTCTGAAAAATATGGTAATTCTTATGTCAATTCATGAATCCCGTAAATACTTTTATTTTTCTGTGCAGGTTGACCCCTATCCTCCTGAAGTAGAAGACAATCTGCCAGTTGCACTCATGGATTAAGGGCGATTCCAAAAAGCCTTGATTTGGGTTTTTTTCTCCTATTGCCTCTGCTTGAAGCAAATCTTTTTTTGTTTTCTTCCATTAAAGCAATTTAAAGTTGGAGCAGGCACCAGAAGACCTAAGTAAAAGCGAATCTTGAACAAGAAGGGAAGCGTGGAAGAATGGGTTGTTGAAGTCATTGGCCCACACAACGAAGCCTGGACATTTTTTGGCCAGATACTTATTATTTATTAAATTTTTATCCCACCCATCACCCCTAAACATTGACTCTGGGCCATATCTGAGAAGAACCTGAGTTGAGGTTGTGGTGCCTCTTCTCAGTAGTGTTCAGAATATTTCAGAGAGCAGTAAAATAACCAGCTACAGAAGGTCTGCCTTTGGGAATACAAATATCTGCAACTGTATCCAGATGCAAGGATTTCTGCCTGGGATGTTCAACTCCCTATCAAGATTATGTGAGATTTTGACTCCGCAGATTATTTTTCCTGCTATACACACGAACGTACCATTCCTAAGATTAATAATCACAGAGCAACACTGTGACATTTTTTTTACCAAGGGAGCGATATTAAAAAATACTCTATGCAATGTTGCATAGGCAGAAGCTTAGTATCACTGCCAGCTTTGGAAATTGCAATTTTAGAGCTGAGGCTGGATTTCAGGAAACGCTTTGCTCCGCACTTCTGATTGTTGAGATTTTTTTGTGGGGGGAGGGGTGCTTCAGCAATGTGGCATGATTTGGCAAGGGGCCAGGACAGCCCAACCTTTCAATCAGGATGTCTTCGGCAACTTGAGATCCTGTGTCACAACTTGAACCTCTAAGTAAAAACGATCCTTGGCTCCAATCTTTGGGATAGGTATAGCTTTAATGCAAGTTAAGTGTATAGCAGTCATGCATTGCCAGAATTGAGCATTGTGCACCAAAAACCCTAAGTTCACATTTTCCCTTAAGTGTCTCCCATCGCTGATTCCCCCCCCCCTCTCCCCGCATGACTAGTCAGGTTCAGGCAAGATATTTTCAGAACCTGTTTGTCTCCCAGCGGGTGACCTTGAAGCAGCCTCTCGGGGAGACACAGAAGTTATTTTCGCTTTCCCCCAAGTGTCCAACCCTTCCCAGAGTTCATGGTGGACTTTCGCCACATGGCAGTGAAGCACACAAGCGTAAGATGGCAGGTGACATGCTGCTGCTTTGGCACTTTATATCAGCTAAGCTGAACATAACAAAGATGCTTTTGCGCTCTTTAAAAACTTGCATAGTGAATGATGAAACTCTATAGGAATATATCCATGGAATGATAAAAGATCCTGTAAAAATAAAAATCCCTCTACTCCTTCCTAGGATAGGAGTTGAGACCAAAAATATTTTCCACTGAGGCCAGCTTGCCTTTCTTAGGATTAACAGAATCCAAATAGAGACCATGGTTAACAGATCCAGATAACCTTCTGTGAAGTTTTATGAGAAATGAATTATAGGTACTGTGATACGTGGATTTAAAATTTAGGATTAAATTATTAGGGTGCAATTATTCTTTAAATTTGTTTCTCAGGTCAGGGTGCTTTGTTCTGAGGGTAAAGTCTTATCTTCCTTCTTAATTCCTGGAAAATTCTGTACTGTAACCTTTTAGCCTTTGCACTACAATTCCCGTCCAGGAATATCACCCGCGTTTCCATCCATAAAACGATGGTCCTCGACTTAACCACCACAAAATTTCTGTTGGCAAGCAAGAAAGTTGTAAGTCGAGGACTGCCTGCACTAAAACCAATACTTCTGCAGGGTGAGAAATGTCCTATTTTCTTGATTGGTAGGCCACACTGGCCATCTGCACTATGGCACTTCTACCTTGTCTTTGAGCGCAGTGGTTAGAATGCAGTACTGCAGTTGCCTGCAGTTCGGCAGTTCGATTCTCACCAAGCTCAAGGTTGACTCACACTTACATCCTTCCGAGGTCGGTAAAATGAAATTTGATGGGGGCAAGATGCTTGCTCTGTTAAACTGCTTAGAGGGGGCTGTGAAGCACTGTGAAGTGTATATAAGTTTTAAGTGCTATTGCAATTGCTATTGTTATTGTCTTTCAGAAGTTTTGGGTTTGGACCAATGGTGGGTTCTGGGTGGTGTGCCCCGGTACACACGTACCGGTGCCTGTCGGAAACAGCAGCCACAGTACCAGAACAGTGCTTTGGAGGGCTCACCCACCCTCATTCCTTACCCGTATTTGAAGGAAACGGGCCATTTGTGCACGCACGCACAGCATACAGCACCTGCACAACGCTCCACCGAGCAGCTGGAGCCCCACAGGTGGTGGGTGCGCATGTGCGCATAACGTGCCTGCCAATGGAGGCGCCCGGCCCTGTCGCAGCGTACCAGTTGCAATGGAACCCAAGAGTATCTATACCCCAAAGCTCTATTGTTGCACATACGCCCTACATTTTTGGATGTGCCTCTATGCCACATGCCCAGATGAAAGACAGGGTGACAAGTTGAAATGAGGCACATTGTGGACACAGGGCTCGGATGATGGCACAGCATGTTTTGCAAATGTTGACTCCCGTGGTTGCAAGCTGGATGCTAAATAGAAGCGCCTTATACTGGCCTGTGTGTAATGACTGAGCAAAGTGTGTTTGTTTTTAACTTTTTACCAGCCTTTCATGACATTTGAAGGACCGAAAGGAGAGAGGTACTCTCAAGCTGTGTTTCTCAAGTTTAAACTGGCTTTCTGGCTGGGGAATTCTGGGAGTTGAATTCCACCTATTTTCCACTCTCCAAGCTTGAGTTTAGGCAGAGTCACCAGCCACAAGCTTGTTTTCTGGTTAAAAAAAAATGAAGCCAGGTGTTCTGTTTAAAAAGCAGCCTTCTGAGAAAAGAGAACCAAGTTGGTTAGAAACCATCTTCTCTTCCTCTGTCCTCATTAAATAAACTTTTGCCAGCCCTAAGCCCATCCTCCAGGCTTACTTTTGAACTGTGGTGAACGAAACAGATTTCGTTTCCTCCCCAAAAGGGGGAAATGCTGTGAAGGGATATGACAGCCTCTGTAGGAGGTCAAGGAACATTCAGTCTTTCATTCTGAAGAAATTAAGTTGCACAACTTGGTTGCAACAACAACATTGGAAACTGACTCGCTGGCCTTTTTAGCAGTCCTCTAAAAAGGGCAAAAAAATACATTTCAAATCCCGTCTCTTGCCCTTCAAACCATTAGTTCTGTTTATTTCTGTAAAAGATAGTCCAAGAGAGGAAAACTGAAGCAAAAGGTAGGGGTGTCCAAACTTGGGAACTTTAAGACTTGTGAACTTCAACTCCCAGAATACCCCAGCCAGCTTTAAGACCTTGAAATGCCTTTTGTTTTGCTTTTCAAGTCAAAATGTAGACAAAACCAAATTTCCTTGCTAAACTCTTCTTTTTCTTGATTTCTTGAAGAGCAATAATACAATGGTACAAAATGCACATCTTTAAAAGGTTGAAGCCATGATAATTATTTGGTGCTTTCAGGGGGGCGATTAAAATACTAGTAAGAGCTGGCTATTGATATTTACAAAGATCATATATCAAAAGGAGAAGATCAGCACAAATCAAGGTGATGATCTTGAGTTCACGTATATCATGCAAATCAAGTGTGGCCTTAATATATTGTTAAAACAAGAAGGGGGGAAAATATTCCCAAGCATGCTGTCCCTCGGTATAAAATTGAATGAGCATAAGTTTTGCATTCTCTTCTCAGGACAGATTTTGCTTCTTAATCATATAGGCATTGCACAATGATTTCTCAATAATGAAAGGGTATGTTTTGTTATGTTTTCAATTCCTGTGCGAAGCAAGCAAAATAATTACAATTATTGTACTTTGTATTAAAATGTGAGCCCTATGGGTTTCTTAATAAAGAAGAAAGGTTGCTTTTTTTTTGTCTTGATCCTTTTTTTAGAAAAAAAAGTTACACATCCAGACATAGGATAGTATGAGGTGGCATCATTTTTTTGAAAATTAAAAGCTATTTCACCACATGCAGGGGATATTTTCCCAAGTTAGCGTCTGGGAAAAAGGCAAAACAATGTAGCTCATGACATTTCAAGAGAAATGCACTTGCAAAAATCAACTGAACAGAAATCCCCTAAAAATTCCATTAAGTTTTAAATTTAGTCCTTGGAATCCAGCCCAGGAATTGTGTCATTTATGACCTTGATAAATACCAAGTGTCCTAAGACTTTGTTTATGCTTTTGTACGATAAGCCCTCTGGAAATTTTCTTTGAGAGGCCTAAATGAAAACTAGTTTCTGTTTTGCTTTTAGCACACCCAGATATTAATTTCCCCACTTTCTGTTCAATTTTTATTCTTTATTCAATACATATTTCACACTGTTTCATAGATTTTGTTTTGCTTAGCTTATTTACACCTTTAATATTCTCTTGGAGGCATGGTGGCGCAGTGGTTAGAATGCCATATTGCAGGCTAATTCTGCTGATTGTCAGGAGTTCAATCCTGACCAGCTCAAGCTTGTCTCAGTCTTCCATCCTTCCGAGGTGGGTAAAATGAGGACCCAGATTGTTGGGGGCAAGAGGCTGGCTCTGGAAACTGCTTAGAGAGGGCTTTGGGGTATAGATACT